GGAGGGTGTCCACAGCATGGACACCCAGGAGCACCGTGGTGCTGGGGTAGGTGTCCACAGCATGGACACTCAGGAGCACCGTGGTGCTGGGGAGGAACTGGAAGGTCTGTGGGGACTCTGGCAGTTTGCTCAGACGATTGAACAGCCAGAGCTTGGAAGTGGTAATGGTTTGTTTCTTACGTTTGTATTTGTTGAACATTACGGATGTGGGAGGGAATCAGAGCCTGCCCTGGTCCCAGCAGTGTGGCAGTTTAATGGAGGGCAGGTTGTTTTTTTTTTTAATTCTGAGACAGAAGTCAGCTATCAAGGGCAGGTGTTTTTGGTTTTTTTTTGAGACGGAGTTTTGCTCTTGTTACCCAGCCTGGAGTGCAATGGCGCAATCTCAGCTCACCGCAATCTCCGCCTCCTGGGTTCAGGCAATTCTCCTACATCAATCTCCCGAGTAGCTGGGACTACAGGCCGTGCCACTATGCCCAGCTAATTTTTGTATTTTTAGTAGAGACGGGGTTTCAACATATTGACCAGGATGGTCTCGATCTCTTGACCTCGTGATCCACCCGCCTCGGCCTCCCAAAGTGCTGGGATTATAGGCGTGAGCCACCGTACCCGGCCGAGGGCAGGTTTTATAGCCTTCCCGAGCTTCCGCTTCCTCATCAGTGGGACGGTCTAGGCAGCTGACTCGGTGGTCACTGCAAAGTGACAGAGCCCGCAGGCAGAAGGAGCACCCCACTGTGGCAGATGAGGTCCGGGCTGTGATCAACAGCCTCAGAGCTCCTGTGGACCTAGCATGTGCTTAGCGGACCAACACGACTGCATCTTCTTGGTGGCACGTGACCACCTGGTCTTTGGTTGCCAAGCACTGCCTCAGCTCCGCCATCCCCAGGATGCCATGCCATTCTCCCCCAGAGTCAGGGGTCTGACTCACTGGCGGTAACTCTGACCTCATCCTCGGCACCCACAGAGCTTTCAGGGAAACAGGTGTCCCACATGTGATGAGGAGGACCCTCTGGGTCTCTCTGGGGATGTCAGGTAGGGGAGGTAGGTCGCCAAGGTAAGCTTGCCCCAGCATCCTGCCCCTCACACCTGCAGGGATACTCTGGTGGCTCGGCCGCCTTTGGCCACATGAGCTGACACATCAGGTCCTGGTCTCCACGAAGGTCCAAGGATCCTCCTGGAGGTCCCCAGGTCCCGCAGCCCTCCAGTGGCTGCATTTCCTGTGGCTGCTGCCTCTGTTGTGCCTTTAGCCCCTCTCAGGCTGGCACCTTTCAGCCGGCTGACAATTCAGCCGCCGAAGATCCTTGTTCAGACTATGGGTTTGTCCATGTGCTGGCCAAGCCTCCGACACAGGGCCAGCAGCTGTACCTCTAGGCCGTAGGCTAATGGCTGGGAGGAGACATAGCCCACATGGAGCTCTGTGTGGGGGCATCAGGCTCCCTCTGCACCTGGCAGGGAGGAGAGGCCTTGCCACTGCATTGGCAGTGGCCCAGCCACTGCGTCTGCTCTGAGTAGTGCAGTGTGTCCCTGAGGGCGATCCCTGGCCCTTGGCCAGTGTGGTGGTGGCGGCCTGGCCTCCTCCAGTGACCTGTTGGGGGCTGCTTCACACCAGACAGCTCAGCCTCTCCTCACGTCCCTCACCTGTCACTGTCATCCTGTCACTGTGACCTTGGGACAGAGGTCCAGTGGTGTGTGGAAGAAGAGGCTGGACCAACAGGGGGATGAGGGAGACCTGCCAGTGTGTAGCAGCAGGACACTGCCTCCGAGGGGTTCTGTGCCCTGGGGTGATGCATGCATGTTTAGCTGGGAGGGTAGAGCAGTGGGGGGAAGTGGACAGCCAGACCCTGTCCTGAGATGTTCTCTGTCCTTTTTGCTGAAACCTGCCACCTCTGTGTGTTCTAATGATATGTGGAAGGGGGACTCAAGCTCGCCAGATTGACACTTGTAGATTCAGCTGGCTAAAAGCAAGCGCCCAGCTGAATCTGCCAAGCCAGTTCTTCCTATGATCTAGGGCTTCTGGAAAGAGGGAACTTAACTTCCGTGGGGAGCCAGTGAGAAGACCTGCCATGCAGCAAGCTGGGCACAATTACAGACGGCGCTGACATCTCCTGGGGTGGAGTGCTGAGTGTACCAGGGTCCCACTGTAGCCGCTCCTAGGGGGTCCTGCCCTCAACCAACCTGCACTCCCACTCTGGACTCCCATGTCCAGAGTGAAGCTTCCTCTGGACATGCTGGAGGCCTGGGTGTGAGCTGCCACAGCCATGTGGGTGCTTCTGGGAAGTGGGAGGAGAGCTGGTATCCAGCCCCACACCAGCCCCACAGAGGCTGAGAGCAGAACAGATGCAACCGGGCGCAGTGGCTCACGCCTGTAATCCCAGCACTTTGGGAGGCTGAGGCAGGCAGATCACAAGGTCAAGAGATCAAGACCATCCTAGCCAACATGGTGAAACCCCGTCTCTACTAAAAAAATACAAAAAAATTAGCCAGACACGGTGACACACGCCTATAGTCCCAGCTACTCGGGAGGCTAAGGCGGAAGAATCGCTTGAACCCAGGAGGCGGAGGTTGCAGTGAGCTGAGTTTGCACCACTGCACTCCAGCCTGGTGACAGAGCAAGACTCCATCTTAAAAAAAAAAAAAAAAAAACCAGATGTGAGCCAGCCAGGCCTGCTGGGCTTGGGAGGCCTTGGAAGCCCCACTCTGCCCCTAGAGCATGCCTGGTGCTTCCTTTCACAAGTGTGCCACCAACATAATGCACCAGTGTGATGCCATGTGGGATGGCAAGAAATAAAGTCCCTGTGAAATAAACTACATGAACTCAATTCACTCAGGAAAAAAAAAAGAAATTATAAACAAAAGCCAGGGAGCTGCTGACCCAGCCCTGAGATACAGTGAAGGTGTGCTACTGCCTCAGCCTGGTAGAAGCACATTGCTTCTGGTGTTCTCTGTGTATTGAGATAGAAAAAAAAAAACTCACCAGCTTGATACCAGCACTCAGGGATATCAAGAGACCACATCTAGAACAGCAGGGATGCAGTGGGGGTAGCCTGGCAGCATCAGACCTGGAGGGGACATAGGTGAATGTGAGGTCACATCTGACCAGCAAGCCTCTCCCTTGCTCTCACCTCTCCTCACACTCACCCCACCTACCTGGCAGCCTGCCAGCCCCCTGCCCTCCCTCAGCGACCCTAGACTGGCAGTGGAAAAGCGCCTCCCTAGGGCCATGGCAGGGCACCCTGTGCTGAGACAATCTGCTGAGCCCTTCCCCAGGCCTGGCCCAGGCCTAAGGCATGTCTGTTAAGACGTAAGAAGAAACGCACATTGCAAAACTAATGCTTTGCATTTACCGAGGGTTTTCTGTGTCAGTGCTGAGCTCAGGGCCTTACTATATGCATATGGTTTTGTTGAATCATCATAACTGAGGAGGAAACTGAGGCAGAAAGATGTTAAGTGAAATCCAAACCTTGCAGCCACAGAGCAACAGACTGGAGTTCAACCCCAGATCTCCCGAACTCCAAAGCCCTTCACCGTTTAGCGTCCCAGGCCATGGAGGGGCTGACTCTGTACCTGGCCCTCAGGGTTTGGTGGCACCCGCCACACTGGCTGCCACCATCCATGCTGCCTGGCTGGTCCCTGGTGTCAGGCTGGGAGCAGCCTCCAGCAGCCATAGGCAGAAATCCTGGGGACAGGCACCTGCACTCTGCCCCCGGCTGCTGCTCTGACATCTCACCTGGGTGCTATGGCCATGCCAAACAGGCCCATGGCCCGACGTTCTGAAACAGATCACCCCATGGCCAGCAGGTCAGGGGGTCCCATATCTTCCTGGCTTCACCTCACCAACCCCCCAGGCAGTGGGGAGTGTGGCCTTGTCCAGAAAGACCCCACCTCAATCAGAGGGATACAACTAGCTTATAAAATGTGTGGGCTTTCTACTTTTGTAGTTGTTGTTTGTTTAGAGATGAGGTCTCACTGTGTTGCCCAGGCTGGTCTGAAACTCCTGGCTTCAAGTGATCCTCCCACCACAGCCTCCCCAAGTGCTGGGATTACGCATGTGAGCCACCATGCCTGGCCAAATTCATGGAGTTCTTTTTCTTTTTATTTATTTAGTTTTTTTTAGACAAGGTCTCTCTCTGTCACCCAAGCTGGAGAGCAGTGGTGCGATCATGGCTCACTGCAGCTTTGATCTCACTGAGCTTAAGCGATCCTCTTACCCCAGCTTCCTGAGTAGCTGGGACTACAGAAGCACACCACCATGTTTAGCTAATTGGTTTTTGTTTTTGTAGAGATGAGGTATTGCTTTGTTGCCCAGGCTGGTCTTGAACCCCTGGGCTCAAGTGATCCTCCTGCCTCAGCCTTCTGAAGTCCTTTGGATTACAGGTATGAGCCACCATGTCCGGCCATTCTATTTTTGTTTTTTGGGTTTTTTTTTTTTTTTTTTTTTTTGAGATGGGATCTCACTCTGTCACTCAGGCTAGAGTGCAGTGGCACAATCTCAGCTCACTGCAACCTCCGCCTCCTGGGTTCAAGTGATTCTCCTGCTTCAGCCTTCTGAGTAGCTGGGACTACAGGCGTGAGCCACTGTGCCTGGCGCCGGCCATTCCCTATTTTTAAGCTACCTCATTTGTAGTATTTTGTTGTAGCAGCATGAATAGACTAAGACAATGCATTCAAGAGCAGATTAAACATAGCTGAGTAGAAAAGTAGTAAACTGGAAGATAGTTCAGAAGAAGATATTCTGAAGTATGGAGTTGCCAAGCGATGGGAACTGCAGAACACAGCGTGAAAACCAGTGGGGCCAGATGCAGTGGCTCACACCTGTAATTCTGTCACTTTGGAAGGCCATGGCGGGCAGATCACCTGAGGTCAGGAGTTCAAAACCAGCCTGCCCAACATGGTGAAATCCCCTCTCTACTAAAAATACGAAAATTAGCCAGGCGTGGTGGTGCACCCTGGTATCCCAGCTACCCAGGAGGCTGAGGCAGGAGAATCGCTTGAACCCGGGAGGCGGAGGTTGCAGTGAGGTGAGATCACGCCATTGTACTTCAGCCTGGGTGACAAAGCAAGACTTCGTCTCCGAAAAACAAAACAAAACCACTTGATGTGCAGTGAGAAAGACTGCAGTTGGATTCCCAGAAGAGAGGAGAGAGGACAGGGTAAAAACATTTGGAAATTGTAGATGATGTCAGACTGTAGATGTAGGAAGTGCTGTGCATCCCAAATAGAGGACCACACCCCAGGGGTCTCCAGGAGACTGAAGGTGGCAGAGGAGCCCCTCATATCTCCCTGGGCGGCGTCCTGGGTCCAGTGCCCTGCATGGCAGGCATAGCTGTGGACACAGGACCAGTGCTAACCTTGGCTGCCGGGGCAGAGCACGTGTGGGCATCACGTCCATATATCCTCCCTGTGTTGTGGCCCTGGGCAGGGTCTCCCGTGTTTTAGATAAGCAAGTGGGGCTCATGCACTGGTTTGGGGGGACTGGTGAGGACGCAGACAGCATGACTCCAGGGACTGTGGTGCCCTTAACCAGGTGTGGGTGTTAGTGGGACACCTGCAGATGTTGGAGTGAGCATGGTGACTGGGGCAGGGTCAGGGGAGGACAGTTGGTCTTTTTGGAGCTCACAGGAGCCCCAGTTGGAAAATGGGGCCCTGGGACGCTGGTATTGTACCCTGCTCCTGGTGGGCTCAGCGGTAACACAGGGCCCAGGCCTGCCGTGCGGCTCAGGCAGCTCAGGAGGCATCTGCCCAGCATCCACAGTAAGAGGGCCCTGGCAGGGCTGCCCTGGGTTCTAGTTACAGAAGCAGCTCTGTGCCTGGTCAGGGGCTGGGATGGGAGCAGACAGATGCCTGGTCGTGGGCGATAGCTCCAGGCAGGAGAGCCCCAGAGGGAGGGCTAAGGGGCTGGGGCTGGGCAGGTGTGAGGGGCTCCAGGCCACACTGCCCAGGGCACAGGGCCCCAGCGTGGAAGGTGTACAACAGAGGGTTCGTGGGAGCCGCCACCTGCAGCCCCCGAAAGGGTGGGGCGTGCCCAGAAGCAGCAGGCAGGTAGTCAGTCACCTGTGCGCGTCCACTCCTTGCAGGACCTCCTCGCTGCGGTGGAACTCAGGCACCAAAGAGCGCATGCTCATCAAGGTCGCTGACCGCGAGCCCAGCTTTCTCGCCGCCCAGGGCAATGGCTACACCCCAGATGGCCCCCCCGGGGTCCGCTCCCGCAGACCCTCTGGCAGCCAGCACTCGCCCGGCCTGCAGACCTTCGCCCCAGAGGCTGACGGCACCATCTTCTTCCCAGAGAGGAGGCCGTCACCCTTCCTGAAGAGGGCCGAGCTCCCCGGGAGCAGCTCCCCGCTGCTGGCCCAGCCGCGAAAGCCCTCCGGGGATTCGCAGCCCTCCTCCCCGCGCTACGGCTATGAGCCCCCGCTCTACGAGGAGCCCCCAGTGGAGTACCAGGCCCCCATCTATGATGAGCCCCCCATGGACGTGCAGTTCGAGGCAGGCGGGGGCTACCAGGTCGGCTCTCCCCAGCGGTCACCGGGCCGCAAGCCCCGGCCATTCCTTCAGCCCAACAAGCAGGGGCCCCCCTCGCCCTGCCAGCAGCTGGTGCTTACCAAGCAGAAGTGCCCCGAGCGCTTCCTGAGCCTGGAGTACAGCCCCGCGGGCAAGGAGTACGTGCGGCAGCTGGTCTACGTGGAGCAGGCGGGCTCCAGCCCCAAGCTGCGCGCGGGACCACGGCACAAGTTCGCGCCCAACCCCGG